CGTAAGTGGAAAATCAGATCAAATATGGATCAGAATGGTAGAGATTATTGATAAAGAGGGAAAAAACAGAGTAGCAGCAAAGGAACCTCTACCTCTTTTTGAAGCTGAATTTTCTTTTTCCAAAGCCAGGAATTCTACTTGTAACATGCCTACCTCATTGTTAAACCTTTGCATATCTTGGTGTAACTCTTTTAGGCATACTGTGGATGTTCTGTTACCATTTGATGGAGAAGAACTCACGTTTCCTAATTCAGGGTCCATGATTTTAGAGTTACTAGCACCGCAGTTATCTGCAAGCAATGGCTTCTGGAGCTGGTCTTGCATTGGTTTGGTTTTCTTGTAAGTATTTGAAACAGCAGACATATCGTGACTTTTTATTTGAATCATGTGTTTCATCTCACTGGAGCGGGCAAGCCACCAACCAAAAAGGCTTTTTGGGTCACTTACCTGAGGTGCACGTCCAATGTCTGATTTCCAGTGAGTATTTTGGTTCCTTTTTTGTATTCTTTTTGTATCAAGTTCTTGGTCTTCATTCACTGTAAATGGAACTCGGTTCCTTACTTCATTTTCTCTATTATAAAAACTCTCCTCATTTTTGTTAAAAACATGTTCAGTGCCTGGTTTGTCATGTTCATCTAACTTATTTTCATTTAAATAAAGTTTTGAAGATGACTGGCAACGATACTCTGTTGACTCAGACTTGGAATAAGATGGAAAAACATTTTCAAGACTGGGCTCTTTGTGTTCAGAGAATGCCTGGGATCCTACAGAGACAGAGGCTCCAGGTGCATCTTTTTCCTCACAATCAAATATATTATCTGTCACACTGGGAGGTAGTTCCTTTAAGTCACCATGTAGTTCCGAGCTGTCATGTAGTGACTCCACCTTACGATGACAAGTAATTTTGCATTCTTCATGGATTTTACTGATTTTCTGATTTGACTTCTTTGTGATAAATTCGGAATTATTTTTCCAGTCTAATTTGCCTTGTTTGACCCACATGTCCTCGTGCTTCTTCACACAAGAATGTTTTGAAGATACAGGTATGTCCTTTCTGTCATGTTCCTTATTCACTTCTGGTTCTCTAGGCGTTTTTTGCAGATGCACAAGTGAAAGATTAATCCGCTTGATTTGACCTTCAGATTTCTTTTCTTTCACAGTACGTGCTCGTAAAACACATGTATCCTTTAGTAGTCAAGTATCGATAAAGAAAAATAAAACACTAACTAAAATTTAACAAACTTCTTAATCTATGTTTGGCTACTCACAAACTAAGACGTGAAACATAACTTGCCTTAGCCTTCAAATAGGAGAAAAACAGGAACTCAGAAACCTAACTTTGTCACTGTTTGTTTAAACTAAACAATTCATACATGTCAAATCTACCAAGAATAAGAGAAGATTAGATTCTTAACATTACAAAGATTTCCTCACTAAAAAATATTTCACCTCACATACCTGAAATAGTGAGCCCCTCCAGTGCATGTAAAGACTTTTTTTAAAGGACTAATAACTGGAGAATAAGCAAACTGCAAATTATTAGGTGCCAAAATCAACTAACATCAGAGGAACAAATTCCTGAGTTTAAGTGCAAATGATATACTATGATAGTGATCTACTCCATATGTATTCTCTGCATCCAAGTTATATTATACTCTAACATTCACTAGTGAGAGTGAATAAATGAATTTTTAATAATACTTACTGATTTCCTACCCTGAAATGAAATAATTTAGAACATTTTTGTTTGTTCCCTAACAGCAAAGGTCTAATCCTGGAAGATTTGATTCTCTTCCTAGGCAGCTGGGTTGACTCTATGACACCTATTCTCTCCGTGATTGTAGATTCTGAAATCGATTACATAGAGATCACAAGACAGAAGAAATCTTTCATCTTGGCATTAATGACTTGCAATTTGAAACTGCAAATTTTGGACCACTGGGAATGACTGTTCCTTACATGAAACTAACTCGGTGGCCATCACTGCGATATTATTTACAACTTCAATTGCTTAATCACATGACTTAATATTTGATATCACCTTCTTTATCATGTGAGAAAGCTATAAAAATGGAAGAAGTAAACAATATTCAGGAAGATTTTTTGCCTCAATTCCAAAGATAAAGTTGAATTATAATTATAGATTCTAACTTACTTTAAGTTTTGTAACTAGATAAAATGCTATTAAAAACTATTAAATAATTATTTATTGACTCTAAAAGTCTAGTTTGAAAGGCAATTTCTTTTCAATTTGAATAACTGTGTTATTAAAGCACAGAAAACAATATAAACCAGAAATTTAAATTTACACCTTTACATACCTGTGAGTGCTTATTTTCACTTCCATCAAGTCTTTCTTGCTCTTCCTCACATGTCCTTTGTAAGTCTAGGTCTGCTGAAAAATGAATATGCTTAGTTAAAATTCACTACTTAGAACAGCTAGATAAAAGGCATCATTATAAAAACATAAAAAACATTTCATCAATTAACAGTTTAAATTAAGCTTAATCTTTAGCTGGATATTTACTTCTTTAAGAAATACTCCTAATTATCTAAAACTTCAACAAACTATTTGGGAAATACTAGATTTTACCAGATAAAGGCATACAAACATCTCAAAGTTTCATTCACAAATTGATTCACCAGACATGAACGAAACAAAGAGAAATAAAACAACATTTAAAAATACAGTAGAAATATACATACAGTCACAATAGACTCTATTCTCTACCTCCTAACAGTACCTTTTTAACAACATACCAAGCTTCAAGAGCAATGTTATTCATGGTTTCCAAAATACTTTATTATGCTTTTATCTTTCCTTAACCTGAAATGTTTCCCTCTATTGTTCTGACAAGTTCCTTTTCCTCTTTGAAGACTCAGCTGCTCTGTGAAGTCCTCCTTGATTGCAGCCGTCTTTCCACAGAGACACAGGGATCTCCTACCTCGGAGCTACCTTGGTACCTCTCACAGCTTTTTCTAGTGTGTCTTCATCAGCTGAACTGTAAACTATTTCTTTACATGTCTATCCTCTTTGCTCCTATGCTGTGGAGGACAAACTCTTACAAGTATCTTTGTATAAACAGTCTTTATTTATTAGAAAAACTGAGTTTAGAGCTTGCAGTCACTACTATAGGAGGTAACTGAGAATTTTTTGTAAACATGACATTAATTCTACAGGTAAGGAAAGAAAAGATAAAACAAAAGCAGAAAAAATATTGTATGATTTATTACTACAGCTCTGATCCTATCACTGATTAAGGCACTAAATTAATTGGTATATAAAGTAGAACACAAGTTAGATGTGGTTAATCAACAGACTGAGTATCCTAGAAGAATTAGAATTGATATTCCATATATTATTTTTAAGTGCTAAAGCACTCCTTAAGACCAATACCCTTTTCGACCAATCCATTAAAAATAATAAAACAAGCTGATATACTATGTGGACACGGTTAAGAAGGAGGTCCTGTGGAGCAAATTCCCAATGACTGCCACTACTGCTGGGAAAGCCATTTCTAAAATACACAAAGGCAGAGAATATACTAGAAATATTTTGATATTTAGTTGCAGAGGTGCTTTTTCAGTTACACCGAATATAGCTATAACTAACACATACAAATTCAGAGCTAGATAAAAATAAAGCTAAGAAACCACATTTTCTGAAGGGAATCTTTGGATGTCCATCTAGGTTTCCCAACTAGTCACAAAGCTCTAGACATCATCCTCCTACCCACTCCCAGGAGTGAGCTAAATACTAGTCTGAACGAACTTACTTTCTCCTAATCCTCTTTGCTACTTAATATGCTGCTTTGGTCAGAGGATGAATGTAAATGTCATGCTAAAAGGTCTTGTCTGGTTGCAGATTGCATAAAAGGAGTAAACACAAAGGAGATCCTGCCACAAAGTGATTTCTGCGAAGTCGGAGTATGGTGAAGCCACGCACAGGTAGACTATGGCTAGCTCTCTATGCTGCTTTATTACCTTCTTTGCTGCTTCTGTTCTCTGGCAGCTGTGATTGACGCAGGCCACGGAGCGCTGCATTTTCTGACAGAAACATGGCTCCAATATTCATCTGTTTTTTACCTACTAGGGCCGTCTGCCTCAGTTCTGTGGGTGCTGACTGGTTTGTGGTCACTGACTGTGATACCAACGGACATTGATCAACTTTCAAAAGCTTGGCTCTTTGACCAGCCGCATTATTGGGGCTCAAACTAGTAGAATCCCAGTCTGAAGGATCTGAAAACAAAGTTTCCACTTATTAGAATGTGAAAAACAATACAAACTTGAATAACCTGTATGGATTCTCTTCCCAGAGCAGCAGCTCCACGTCCTCCTCTCCCCACAAACACGCTGCTCCTTCCCAGCTGGTTGTACTTTACATGCCATTGCTGTTCACATAGGGAACCACTGTCTCTCTTTCTACTTTTAATTTTCTAGTATTACTTATTTGGATTCACTCATCACTCTCTATAAAACAGTCAATATTCCGTAAGAGCTTTATGAGTAATTATTATTTCTTCAACATGTGAATTTTTTCATTAACAAAATGTATGTCTAACCAGCCATTTACTGGACATTTAAATATGCATGACAGTATTGTGTCCTAGAGACACGGGCTTTAAGAAAACTTTCACTGAATGGTACTACTTACATTACAATGAGACAGTCTTTCCTCAATGTACCAATATCTTCAGAATTCTTACCTTAAGTCGTGGATAAACATCATAAATTTATATAAGGAAGGATAGCCTTGAGTGACTAATTTTCTCCATATAAATCTAGGTACAAACTAGGTCCAAAGAGTACAGAGTGCCACGAGACAGGAAATATGTAACAAAAATGTTTTCCTTTTTTAAAAAAGAATTAAGTTGTCAGCTTCAAACTTTTTAACACAAGTTAAAGAAAAAAAGGCAGGAAATGTAGAAGTGAACTTTAAAGCCCACTTATTTCACATCCATGAACTCTGTTTAAAACCGCAGTTCTCAAGTGTCATCTGAGAAGCCCTGAAGCCCCAAGTTCCCTCCATCTAGGGAGTCCAGGAGTTCAAAACTATTTTCACAATAATACTGAATGCTATTTTCATTCTCATTCTCTGTTAAGTGTGCAGTGGAGGTTTCCAGATACATGACATGTGATAACATCACAGCTCTAATGGCTAATGGAATGTGTGTGTGTGCTTGTTTTTAAAATCTTTCACTTTTACTAATATACTGAACATCAATAGATACAACCCACTTAAAAGTTCTTCAGAATTCTCAATAATTTTTAATACTATAAAAAATATCCTAAACGCCAAAACTTCTAGAATTATTGTTTTAAAAGATTGTGTCTACCAAATATTAAGGTAGGACTAATTACTTCCATCATTTTTAATAATCAAACACACCACATACACACACACACACTGCTAATCAAAACATCCAGTTGACATAAGATC